AGAAGACAGAAGGAAAATGTAATCTAAGGGGTTATGTGCTGAGTCTTGATTATTCTGATTGGAAATAGATATTTAAGAGCCAGTGCTGTAACCCAGTGGGTTAAGCTGCTACCTGCAATGCTTCATTCCATGAGTACTAGTCATAGTTCTGGCTGCTGCGTTCCTTTCCTTTCCTCCTTTCCTTTCTTTTCTTTCCCCCCCCCCTTTTTTTTTTTTTAAGATTTTCACTTGAAAGACAGAGAGAGTGATCTTCTATTCACTGGGTCATTCCCCAGATGCTCACTATGACACAGCTGAGCCGATCAGGAGCCAGGAACTTCTGGGTTTCCCTTGTAGGCAGAGAGACCCGAGGCCTTGGTCCATTCTCCCCCGCTTTTTTTCAGGCCATAAGCAGGGAGCTGGCTTGGAAGTGAAGCAGCTAGGTCTTCAGCCGGTGCCCATATGGGATGCTGGCACAGCAGGCAGAAGAACCCAGCTGTGCCACCACACCAGCCCCTTGCTAATGCATCAGGGAAAGGGCTGTAAAATGGCCCAAGTACCTGGGCCCATGCTGTCCATTGGGAGACTCTGCTCCTGGTTTCAGCTTGTCCCAGCTCCTGTCATTATGACTACTTGGGCGGAAGATCTCTTCTGTAAGTCTGTCTTTAAAATGACTAGATCAATGAATAAATAATTAAATGAACAAACAAATAAACCTTTGCAAAAAATAGGTAGTGGGTTTGTTCTAGAATTTTCTAATTCCGCCTACTTATCTGATATATCTTCAACAAGTGTAGCATGAAATCCTGTTTTTAAAGTGGCTAAAAATTTAACAATTATAAATACAATAAATAAAATTACTAAATAAAATTAAGCTAAATATCTCTGTGTTCTGAAGAACACCTCCCCTCTGCCTGCCTATGTTAGACATTGAGTATCATCTAATTTTTGTATATGGAGGTGGTATTTGCGCACTTTTGCAACCATAAACTCATGTTAGTTAGATCTTACTATCTGAGTTTTTTAGCAAATGAAACTAGAGAGATTGAATAATTTATTTAAAGTAATAGAGTTGCTTTGTGGCCAGGATAGGATTTGAATTCTGCAGGTCTTCTGATTCTACAATAGGTGACCTTTCCTTCACACCAAGAGGTTGATGGAGTAGGTCAGTCTATTACAGAAATGGCCTCATCAGTGGTTTCCTGAGTGAGTTCTGTGTTTTGTTATTCATTGAAACCATGCACTAAAAATAAAAAGTATAATCCAATAGACTGAAATCTTGCCCTAATAATAAAAGTATGCCCTCATAATAAAATTGCTTATAAAATATATGATATGTTTATAATGACATATTTTTAGAAAAATAACCTTTTGAAGAAACCAGTAATAACTAATAGCAATACTGTAATTGAGTCTGGAAATATGGACATGAGTTAGTGCCAGAGCCATAATGTGTTAAAATATGAGGCTTAAAATGTTAAACCATAAAAAGTGTCTTGGCTTGTGAATTCTTTAATTTAGGAATTAAATGAGGGACTTTTATTTGAAGCCAAGAAAAATTTATCCTGCAAATTTAGGCTGCCAGAAATGTTTAGATTATTTCATCCTGAAATGAGGTAATAAACAAATCCAGCCGAGAGTCATTTGATTTAAAAGCTTGGAAACGCATTAGCAGAAAGCATGTGTCCATGGAAAGCCTACTGCCTTCCCTTGTTTTTTTCCTCCCTGTTCAATCTTCTACCAAGACGAGACAAGTACAGTGTCAGGAAACAGGCAGGCACAGCTTTGCAGCGGGCAAAGGAAAAGTCTCTCAGCATCTTCACTCAGTCTGTAGTTTCTACCTTTTTTCCTTACAGATTTGCTTTTTCAGTAATAGTGAGAGAAAGCACGATTGAATTTTGGTAGGTTGGAAAACTTAATGTTGGCCATCAATTTACCTTATTTTAAACATTCTTTCTGTGAGGGACTGTTTATAGCACGGAGGCCTGCAGCCTGAGGCACTTGTTTGCAGGATAAAATTGCTGCCAGATGAGTGGTTTCCCAAAGCCAAGGCTGCTGATGGGGTCTTAGTGGGTACAGGATTAAAGGGAGTGCAGCTTTCCTCTGCTTTACAAATATTTGCTTGGAAGCTAATGGGTTTTTGTGTGCATGTGTATTTCCTTTTTCAATTGGGGAAATTACAAGTAATACAGGAACATCCTGTGATAAAATATGTGAAGCAGAGGCTGGGGAACAGATGAATGAAATAGAGGAAATGTGCCTCGGGTCTAGGGCATGCTATCCTATCGCTGAGTTCTTGACATCCTGGAATTATTAAATCTGCAGGTGATTAGTTCAGTATAAAAGAAATATTTGGGGCATATAAAGGCTATGTCATCTGTGGGGTTTTTTGTAAGATTTATTTATTTTTATTGGAAAGTCAGATAAACAGAGATGGGGAGAGACAGAGAGGAAGATCTTCCATCTGATGGGTCACTGCCCAAGTGACTGCAATGGCTGGTGCTGCACCAATCTGAAGCCAGGAGCCAGGAACCTCCTCCAGGTCTCCCACACAGGTGCAGGGTCCCAAAGCTTTGGGCCATCCTCAACTGCTTTCCCAGGCCACAAGCAGGGAGCTGGATGGGAAGTGGAGCTGCTGGGGTTAGAACCAGCACCCATCTGGGACCTGGCACGTTCAAAGCAAGGACTTTAGCTGCTAGACCACCACGCTGGGCCCATCTGTGGTTTTTAATGGAAAAAGAATTCACTCTCATCAAAGATATAGCCATTATTTTCACAAGCATACATTGTATGTTTTAAGTTAGTACCCATGCTGGAAGAATTCCAGTGAGAATAAACCCAGTGTCAGCACAATCACTCATGTACCCCGAAGAGCAGTAATGTCTTTTCACAACTTGAAGTCCTGTGCAAGGAGTTGGAATGGTGGTTAAGATGCCAGCATCCCAAATCAGAGTGCAAAGGGAGAACAGAGTGAGTCTGACCCCAACCTGGCTGTTGAGGCCATGTGGGAATGGACTGTCTCCATGCTCTGTTTCTCTACTTTGCAGATGAACAAATAAGTAAAGAAGCCTTTCAGTGCTGTGTCTGCCTAACCTGACTATATGCCTGCATCATGGTTACAAGACTGGGACTAATTTAACTCTTACTGTCTTGATTACCTAGGAGCAGTTTCAACCTGTGATAGTTAATTCTGCAGAAAATGGGAATACAGAAATTTCTGAAAATACTGATCTTTGTTCCCATAAAAGTAAATCTTAAGTGTAAAAGTGTAAATCCAAAGTCAGTCAGAGAATTATCTTACTAATATTTCTATTTGCAGTCTCTCTCTCTCTCTATATATATATATCACTCCCGGTGACCAGGACAGGGTGGCAGTGGGAAGCCTTTAACCGCCTTCTGTCTGCCCTTTGCCTGCGCACGAAGGGAGGGAAGAGCCAAACCACCAGTCCTTGAAACACCAACAAGGTTCTGTGTCTTCCCTCCCTCTGCTGGACCCAGCTGGAAAAAGCTCATCTATAGCTGCTGCTTTCTGGAAATAGCTTTTTTTTTTTTTTTTTTTTTTAATACAGATCCGGACCATGGAAAAACATAAGGCCGTCTTGCCTAAGCCTAGTTACCTGGACATTGGGTGCCTGGAGCTGGAGTGATAATCAGGGTGTTGACAAGGAAGTGCCCAGATTAGAAAGGTTCTTTGCACAGCACAGCACCTGCTTTTTCTGAGCCCATCAGTTAAGATGCACTTTGGCTCAGTGGATTCCTGCCCTCCACATGGGTGAAGGGGAGGGCAGGGAAAGTAAAACTGTTAATTGAAGTACAACATGCGTACCAAACATTGTGCCTGTCCTCTGCATTCATCTTGGTGGGTTTGAACAATAAGAAGCACCCAGGAACACACATCCAACTTAAGTTGGGTTTTTCTTCTTATAATGGATTCTTTTCCCGATTAGTATTAACTCTTGTAAGAACTTCAGAAACCTTTGCAAGATAATAAAGAGAAAATAAAAACAATGCCTGGTGCTCATATCTCAAAATGATTACTGGTAACGTTTTTGTGTATTTCGATTCTGTCTCCTCCACCCCCTGCAGCTGCAGCTGTATGTATGTCAATAAATGCACAAAGCAGGAGTTAACCTTTGAAACCTTATGCATGTGTGCACAGACATAGGGAGGAAGGGTCAGATAGTTGTAATAACATGACCAGTGTGTGGATGTGCTGTGTGGCTTCATCAAGCAGAGTGTCAGTAAAGAAAGTCAAGGACATCCAGAGCCATCTGTCTTCTTGCTTGGTAACAGAAAAGAAGGGGCGGAACATGAAATAAATGGCTGAATGTAAATATGGGTGATTCATAGAGTTCATTGAATCATTGTTTTTCCAACTCTCAGAGAAGTAAGCCTGGCTCATAGAAGGCTCAGCGCTCCACTGCTGGAGTCTCCTTACAGCAGGCCCAACTCAGACTTCTTGGCCAAATCTTTCCAGCTCAGATTTGCTGTGTTGGAAGGCCAGTCTGACTTCTTCTCTTACTTCAGCTTTCTCACAGGCATCACAACAGCCTTGCAGCAGTTCTTGTTCTAACCAAAGGAAGCTGTGACAAAGTGGAAGTCAGCCTGGCGGTTTTGTGTGCCACAGTGGCCATCCCCACTGCATGATGCCTTCATGCTGGTGGTAGCTTCAGCTTCAGCTTAGTTTCCGTACACATGGTCGGGCGAGAGCAGTCAGTGGGTGCCAGCTTTCCATTGCTTCTGGCCCTGGCTTTGGCCAGCTGGGCCTCATGGCATTCCTGGTGTTGGGGGTAGCTGTCTCCCTCAGAACTGCCCATCCCTTTCTTGTTTCTCAATTACACTTCATCATGTCCACACTTTGGGCTTTGAGTGATGACACATACAGGAAATGTATTGGCTTTTTTAATACTTGTAAGATGTCATCTTGGGTCTCTATTTTTTTCTTCTGGTTGATAACCCATTCACAGACACAAGAAGTGGCCTTGCTGTTTACATGTGTTCTTGTTGTCTTGTCTTTGCAGTCGAAATCAGCTGTCTGCCCTGCCTGCCTGCCTGTGTGGTCTGCCTCTCAAAGTCTTAATCGCAAGTAACAACAAGCTTGGATCACTCCCAGAAGAGATAGGTCAGCTCAAACAGTTAATGGAGTTGGTATGTTGCTGTTTTTAAGATGCTGTTTTGATTTGCTGTTTGATCATTGCCTCTTGGGTTTCCCTAAAGATGACAACAGCTTGACCAGGGTGACCCTGTGTTAGTGTGTTTCCCATTGCTGTTAGAAAATGCTTGACATTGGGTACTCAATATAAAAAGAAAAAAGAAATGTATTTGTTCAAAGTTTCTTTCTGAAGATTTATTTATTTATTTATTTATTTATTTATTTATTTTACTTTGAAGGATTACAGAGAGAGAGAAAGGGAGAGTAAGAGAGATTTTCATCTGCTGGTTCACTTCCTAAATGGTCACAACAGCCAGAGCTAGGCTGGTCCAAAGCTGGGAGCCAGGAGCTTTGTTTTGGTCTCCCAAATGCATGCCAGATCCCAAGACCTTGAGCTCTCTTGATTTGCTAGGCCATTCATAGGAGGCTGGATTGCAAGTGGAGCAACTGGGACATGGTCCAGCTCTACACATGAGCACTGCCATTTGCTTCAGACAGAGGATTAGCTTGCTACACCATAGCACCTCTTGCTCTCAATTCTATTGGCTGAAATCCCAAGCTCAGATAGCAACATCTGTTTGGCCTCTGGTGAAGGCCTCGGCTAACAGCACATCATGGCAGCCAGTGCCACTAGAGTGGGAACATATGGGAGAAGAGAGCATCACGTGGCCACACAGGAAGCCAGGAAGCTCACTGGGCTTGTGTTTTCATGACAGTCCACTATGTCAGGAACAAACAGGGATTCCCAAGAACCTCACAGCCACCCACGAGGCTGCAACTCTTTAAAAAGTCCTCTAAAGTGCAGCACACCTAGGACGTAGTTTCCAACACTTGAACCCTTGGGGACTCTCCACCCTCTAAGTATCCCAGAGATGCAGTTGTGTGCAGGACATGTGTGATGGAGACTGTGAGTGGAGACACTCAGCTGACAGTCTGGGCTTTGCCCAGCAGACGCAGTTCCAAAAGTGTGTGTGTGTCACGTTTCCTAGGACCTGACATTTCCAGGTTGTCATTTGACTGTGGGCATGGTGTCTTCGGGATACCTGTCGCTGTATGAGAAGCTGTGGCTCTGCTGACCAGATGATGCAGGTGTGGAGTTTGCTCAGGAGCAGAAAGAGCAGCTGCTCTGATTGGGTACTCAGAACATGTGACTCCAGGGTGGCCTAAGGGACACCCAAGCTTTTTAAGGCACCCTATCCCCAGCCCAGCTGTGGCAAGAGTTGCCCTGCATCTTAATTCCAGCACTGCTAGCTCTCAGTGCCTGTGATTTTCCTCCACTGTAAGGGCTCCTGTAAAAGGTGTGTAGTCAAAGCTCTGATCTTTTCCACATCAAGAAATCCAGGGCACAGAATGGCCATGAGCAGCATATGGAAGATCACCCTGTTCTGGCTAAGTTGTGAAATAAACAGAAATGTTATCTCCCCGCACTGTCCAACGAAAGTATGTGTAATACAAGCAGCAAGTGGGGCTTTAAATGTTCTAGTAGCCATATTTTAAAAAATAAAAAGTGAGATTGGCTTGAATAATATTTCATCACAAACAGCCAATTATTATTACTTCAACATGTACACAAAGTAAAAAAAAATTGAAAGAATTTCTTTTGCTTCTTTTTTTTTCTGCTCTAAGTCTTTGAAATCCAATGTTGCATTTTATGCTGTTAGCACATCAGCCATCGGACTGACCACACCTCGGAGCTCCCTAGCCACTCATGGCTGGTGGCTCCCTGGCTGATTGTGGCAGCTGTTTCTATTCTGCTGCCCCCTGTAGTTGAACAAGCATGGTATTGGTCACAGCATTTGTTTATGAAGTGGGTGAAGATTTAGAAAGTTGATGTTATTTAACCACAAGGAGTCATTGGCCTTGTTTAAGGTCACAGACTAAAAAAAGATTAGTTTCCATCCATTCTTACTTATCTTTTTTATCTTTTTACTTAAAATAGTGTTCCCATAGGTAACCATGTCAGATTATTTTAAGCAGTCGGTTAGGGGAAAAGCAATCCCCTAGAGAATCTAAAGTAATTCTGGAATTGCAGTGAGAGGCTGCTGTGTTGTCACACATCACCAACTTGTTTAAAAAAAATAAAAAAAAAAAAAGCCAACAACCTTGGGAGTTCCAAGTGCTTGAGTGCTGATAAAATCTCTCCACTTATTAGTATTAGGCTTAAAGCATGCTTGTTAACTATTTTGGAAAAAGTTTTTTCTTTAATTTTTTTTATGATTATACTTGTGGTTTCCACAGTTAAATTGGAAACTTTGTCTTTTCCAAAATGTGAACAAACATTTCAGGGTCAACATTTGTGTAAAACATAAAAACACCTTAGTAATGTTGAGGAAAGCAGTTGTATTTTCCTGCATTTGAAAGTAACTGCAGTTGGAACATAATAGGCTATCTTTTCAATTATACCATGGATATCTAAGAATCAAGCAACACACAAAGCACTCTTATCCAGTCATTGACTCCTCCAGCTATGGCTGGAGCTGAGCTAATCCGAAGCCAGGAGCCTCTTCCGGGTCTCCCACGCGGGTGCAGGGTCCCAAAGCTTTGGGCCATCCTCAACTGCCTTCCAGGCCACAGGCAGGGAGCTGGATGGGAAGCAGGGCTGCTGGGATTAGAACCAGTGCCCCTATGGGATCCTGGGCGTGCAAGGCGAGGACCTTAACCACTGCGCCATCACTCCGGGCCCCAGGTTTTGAAATCTTAAAACAAAAAACAAAAAAGCCTACTGAAACATCCTTTTTTGTTTTTTAAAATTTGTTTTGAAGATGGACCTCCCAGCTGCTGGGTCATCCCCCCCAAAGCCTGCAATAGCTTGGGACTGGTCCTGGTCATTGTCAGGAGCTGGGAGCTCCGTTGAAGTCTTCCAGATGGCTGGTCTGGACCCAGTCACCTGAATCAGCACCTCTGCCCTCTGAAATATGCCTTAGTAGCAAGCTGAACTGGGGAGGGTCACCTTAAGTCAAATGTAGGCCCTGGAATGTGGGTTGTGGGCATTCCAGGAATCATCTTTTTTTAAAAAATATTTATTTTTATTGCAAAGTCAGATATACAGAGAGGAGAGACAAAGAGGAAGATCTTCCATCTGATGATTCACTTCCTAAGTGACCACAACAGCTGGAATTACACCAATCTGAAGCCACGGGCCTCTTCTGGGTCTCCCACACGGGTGCAGGGTCCCAAGGCTTTAGGCCTTCCTAGACTACTTTCCCAGGCCACAAGCAGGGAGCTGGATGGGAAGCGGGGCTGCTGGGATTAGATCCAGTGCCCATATGGGGATACCGGCGTGTGCAAGGCAAGGACTTTAGCTGCTAGGCTACTGCGATAGGCCCCCAGAAAGTATCTTTACTACCCTGAAAGTGAGTCCCCATGCTCCTCTTGAATGAACAGAAGTGGCCAGGTGTATTTGTAGGTGCAGGAGAATTTAACAGAATCTTAGCTTTCTGGAGCTGGCCCCTCTATGATCCTTCCTATTAATCTGTAACTTTCTGGCCTCAGCATGCTGAATGGTCTCAGTGCATATCACCCAGGGGTGGGCACATCTTCCGGAAAGTTTCCATACTGTGGAACCAACAGTAAGGTATGACGACTGTAGACATCTCTTGCACGGGCTAAACCTCATTCAATTCAATAAAACCTTGTTAATGTATGAAAAATGTGATTCTTATGCTGTGAGGTCATGCCAGAAAGGAGAGGTCTATGTGGTGGAAGAAACTGAATAAGTGCCGCATGCTGCACGTAACCAGACAGCTGTGAAGATCAACACTATGTTAGAGCACAGTAAGATGAAGAGCCTTCGATAGGCGTTTACCAGAGTCCTAGAAGTTTCCCTGTTGATTCTGTGGGTTCTGGCCTGCCAGCAGGCCCCAGATCACCGAGGGTGAGGTGTTGGTGCTCTTTGGCCGTAAGAAGCACCGGAGAGAAGCTGGTGAGGAATGTCTGCTTTATTATGCACAGGTTACAAAGTTTACAGTGTAAGAAAGTGGCGGGAAGGAGGGAGTCTTCTAGCAGACTCCCCAGCCCCCACCAAAGACATTGTAGTTGGCTGTATGACACGTCTATTTCCCTTGATCTTCCAGTCATGTCAGAGGTCATGTTCCATGCGTATTCCTCTTGACCTTCTAGCCATGTTGGAGGTCACACTCAAGGTGTAGGCCTGAAAGCTGTGGCTCAGGCCATAGGGAAGTAAACTTTAGGCCATGCCCACAGGCAGCAGGGCAGAGGCCTGGTACGATTGCCCACAGATTCTGTGTATATGGCGGCATGGTGGGCTCAAATGGTCTGTGTTGTGTTAGGATTTTGTTAAGTCAGTCTTCCCTTGCCCTTTGCGCCCTCTAGCTCTTAACCTTCCTGTCAGAGTTAACACTGAGACCTGCTTGTGCAACCAGAACCATCTCAAGATGTAGCTCTGGCGATAAGCATGTGGAAATTGCATTGTTTGGTTCTGTTTTTTCTTTTCACCAAAGCATTGGGTGTATGGAGAGTTTGGACTCAAGGATTGGTTATAGACACATGATGCATTGAGTGGCTTCTTGGGGGAAATCCCTTCTGTATTTCTTTTATGGGCGGCATTCCAGTCTGTGAGGTAGGTTTCCTAGGGTCATAAATACACAAGTTTGCCATACTTGTGTGTCCATTTGTGACCTTAGGAGGTGCTGCCTGACCTCTTTGGTTCCTGCAGGACAACTGGAGACCCAAGGCTTGCTCCAGGTCCTTTCTACTGTTTTTGTGTGTTTGTTTGTTTGTGAAGAGCAGTATGTGAGGGGCAGCAGTGATGTGGAGTTCTGCTGGGGAAAACACTGGTGTTAAACTGGATGCTCATGTATCATGTCAGAGCTTGAGGAAATATCAAGTTTAAGTGAACATCCTGACTTTTCTGTTAAAAAAAATATTCTGAATTCAGACATTATAAAGGTTTTTTTTAAGTTACTAAGAAATAAAAATTACTGTGTTAAATTTATCTACATTTCAATAAAGATGTATTATTTCTGATATAGTAAAT